AAAAAAAAAAAAAAAAAAAAAGGGGATGATAATATCTATCATACAGAGCTGCTTGGGGGCACCTGGAACAGAGCCGGCTACACAAACACCCCCTCCTGCCAAAGGTGAGGTCGTGGAACAACTCGGCATGGATGGGGTGAACAGAGAAAGGCTCTGCCCTCGGCCAAGTCAGCCCTGTCGGCCTAATCACTGAAGGAACTATCTTATCTGGTGGCTTCCCTTGGGCGGAAACCGTAAGCCTCTGATGACTTCAGCGACAACTCTTTCTGCTTTACTCAGGCCACAAGGGGTTAGTTATAAAGACACGAGTCACATTTCCAAGGAAGCAGACAGGCCTTCTGAGTAAGGAGATTCAGGCGAGGGATTGGCAGGTGTTCCACGTTCTCCCAGGAAGATATGAAGCGCGTCCTTCTGGAAGGGGTAGGAGCCCCCCAGCGTGCTGTCTGTGGCACGTCTGTCAGCCTGCACATGTTCACTGTTGGTTCATCTCACATGCTATTCCGGGTTCTACGGGTGGGGTGCATCAAACCGCCCTAACTCAGTAGGGTAGAATAACCACCGTTCAATGTCTCCCCTAATCCTGTAGTTCAGGAATCTGGGAAGAGCACCGGGGACAGGCTCTTGCCTGCCTCACAGTGCCAGGGCCTCAGAGAGGAAGACTTGAGAGCTGGGAGTGGCGCCACGGCGGGGGTTGCCTGGAGGACACTTTCTCATTCTTCTGGGTGTTGACGCTGGCAGAGGTGCCAGGAACTCCTCGTGTGGCCATGGGCGTCCTCAGCACACAGTGGCTCGGGCTCCAGGGTGAGCCTTCCCACTAATACGGCGGAAGCCTGCTGCTTTCTAAGGCCCGGCCACCGATTGTCCCAGCAAGATGCCAGCTGCATCAGGCATCGGGCACAAGCTACTCACAAGCCCCCCAGAGACAAGGGGAGGAAGATGAGACTCCGCCTCTTTCTTAACCCCTCAGGGAAAATGCGAGGGCAGTTCCCCACCGCCACAAATGACACCGTCAAGCTTCCCATACCCAGGGGATGGCAGGGGTCCGCACACTTGGAGTGCATGGACAAGCCTTGCCCTGGGAAAACCACCTTCATGAAACTCTACTTCTTGATGAGAGAATGGAAGGTTCTAGAGGAACGCATGGGTCAGGAGACACTACA